AACTTCCTCCGTCATTATCAAGTGGCTCAAAACTCTGTTTGCCTGATTTGGTCTACCAGAGGATTTAGTGACCGAAAATGGCCCTTCTTTCATGAAATACTCATTTCCAACAAATTTGTGGAAGGAAAGACAATGTTGTGGCTTACAACTCATTTAGTTCTGCTCATACATGCTTGTGACCGAATTGACTGATCGATCGATCGATCGATCGATCGGTTGATTGATTGAATGACTGTTTGATTGTTGGCTTGACAGCATTCGTATGTACTGAGACGTGTGAGCCGGACTCTGCCTGCCTACCTGCCTGCTTGTCTTCCTACATACTGATCGTTCCTGCTTGTTCCCCAGTTTGTATAGCGGTTACATATTTGCTGTCTACAATAAACTTACTGCTCCATTCGTCAAGTGCTCATCTGCCTACTAGTCTAGGACATAACAGTCAGTAATGCTACCTTTTGTGTCCATGTCAAGACTCGAACCGCGAACCTTCGGGATAGGAATTCAAACCCTTATCCCTGAACGACACGGCCGATGGTTATAACCTTGTGCGAATGGATCGATCCATTTTACAGTATCAAGCTTGGATTAACCCACAGCAGAAGCTGTGGGAATTCGTTTGCACATCCCTCTGCATGCTCAAAACGAATGTTTGCAGTCGCTAAAATTCCCTTTTCCGACACTCTCTGGTCATGGGTATTCTCGATTATCGAATGAGCACACAAGTATGTGATCATGGTGAATCACGTTTCCGGTCTCATGATGTCATTGTTTCCAGTAATCTTTCATTTGATTTGATTTGATTTTCCAAGACAAGTTCACTTCCACGTATTGATGTGTCCTGATGCATGACGGGAAATAACAATCACTGAAAATGAATTTGTTCACTGCTCTGTTGTTTTATCTGAAACCATTGCTGACTGATACCTCATATTGTTTGGGAACCTTGAATCGGAGATCGATAAACCTGATCCACAATCTCTCTCGTAAATTTCCTGCAGACTAGTTGCATTTGTGTCCACTGAATCTTGTATTCAGTTCAAAACTAATGTGTTGTCTGACCTGGTTTTAAATTCTTGTTCTAGTCAAGTGGGCATCACCAAACCAGAGTGAAATACATGCGTAAAATTTGAATTTCCATTCAAGTTACTTACGAGTAATAATGCCTGATAAGTAAAATAAATATCACCAACAAGGCCTGTTTTTAACAAAGAACACAACATTGCAAGTGAGCACGACTAAATTCCGGAATTATTTCGCTGCATCTCAATTGGTGCTTATTGCATAAAAAGTAGTTTCTATATCACAGGTCATGACAATCTAACATGGTATCAGTTCATTCTTCCGCTTACGTGGTCACCAGGGCAACGCCAGACTGATGTAAACATCCTTCTGCTGACACACTAGGGGCTTTCAGCGCTTGATTGCTATGGTCTCTGCAAATCTTAGCAGCCGTCCATTCGGGGTTGGGTAAACAGTCCGAAACGAAACCCCACGATTAGCTTGGTGGCCAGTCCGCAGCAGATGGCGAGCAACTGATGACGCAGGTGATCTGTGAGACTGGCTTGATGGCCTCGTTGTTTGTGTAGCGTTCAATCTCACCCGCTCACTTTCGACCCATACCGGCATGCGTTCAGCCACTCGGGTACGCAGCTACTTCTCTGTTCTGCCCACATAAATAGCTCCTCACCCACATTGGAATTCATAGATTACATGGGATTTGGCGGACAGAGGGAGCGGTGATTTCACCAAGGGCTTCGGAATCTGGGTTGTTAATAAACGAACGACCGGATTTCCAACAAAATACGTGCGAGCTACAGTCCCCACCAGCCGTCTTCGTATAAGTCCTACATCATCAACTTTGGAAGAGAGTTGAATGGTGACGTTGCATTTTGGTAGTAACATCTCTGAGGGTCTGGGTAGTAAGTGTAGTAAGCACCAGTTGAGGTAAAGCGAAATGATTTCAGAATTAAATCGTGCTCGTTTGCAATGTTGTGTTCTTTGTTCAGCTTCATCTGTGTAAATAATTGTTTCAAATTTCTCAAGGCCTGCTTTGTCTAAACTCTCTCTCTATATATAGAAATATATTTCTAAAGAGAAGCCAGTATACTAACATTGCACGATTTATGTCCTGGACGATATCGCTGCATCTCAAATGGTGCATACTGCAGACAAATACAATGTTTATATAAGGTTTGGGAATGAACTAATTATTTAATTAACAATAATTTAGAGTATCAAGCTTGGAATAGTCCATTCGATTGTTCACACCCACCAGGCACTCTTGATGGTTCTCGGTGTGGGTTTCACTCCTTGAGAAATCGTTAATTCCCCAGTGTTTGTATGCAATTCAATGCGATGGAAATGTTTGTGATAACCAACGCAAAGCACTGGAAAGGTAATTCGTCCTGTTTGTGGCTCGTCAGCAGTGCGTACGTCTTCTGTCCCTGTTAGGACTGGAACCGTGATCAGTCGGCTCGGGCTTCATAATAATAAATTTATATATGTCACAAGTGTTGATAATCTAACAGGGTATCAATTCACTCTTCCGCTTAAGTGATTACCAGAGCAAAGCCAGACCGATGTATACCTTCTGTACGCTGACAAGGCAGGGGCTTTGGGCGCATGATTGGCATGGACTCTGCAAACAACATCGAACAGACGGCTACTGTAATTAAAGTACACTGTGATGTAATGATGTGAATACGAGTGTATCTTCTTGTTTGAGGTTGTTTTTGTATTGAAATATCAAAATGAAATAATTACCTCTTAATCACATCGCATCGAACCTTGTACCATGAAGGGTTACAGTTATGATCTATTGTAGTTTAGGTTTGCGGCTACCTACTCGCATCTTCTCATCAGTTAGGCTTTCTTCAAATGAGGTAAAGCCGCCTACACATTTACCTGTGGTTGCGTTGACGAAATCATAAGGTGTGTTGATCTACGAGCAAAACCGAACCGCACAGGAAGCGTCTGACTAAAGCTAGTCAACAGGAGTCATCTACAGTAACGACGGCTTTTCAATAACCAGAGCGAATGAACAGACGCGTTTTTACATGGCTAGATATAACGGTGCTAATTTGGTGTGTTGTTTTCTGGCTAGCTCACCACGAGAATTTGTTCACTCCCATTACTTTTTTATAGTGGTTCATATGTTTTGCCCTCTCTCGAACACCTTTACTCGCTGACCGTCTTGTTACTGTTCCGTAGTCGTGATGTGTTCTATACTGCCTTGTTGTGCAATGCTCCGCTCCCATATTTGAATTCCAGCTTACTTCCCTCCAGTTTTCCTAAAACCTACCTTCACAGAAAGCAGCAAATAACTTAAGCGGAACTTCAGTGATTCTGCAATAAACAGCACATGAGAGGATTGATTTCTAACTTTGGTAAACAAACTTTTATTCAATAAACCAAATTGAAAAATCGTATCGACCTTATACATAATACAACAAGAAAAGAGAGGATAATCTATTGTTTCCACAACGGATATCCACTATTACAAATGACCAAATAAAAGATTGAAGGAGGAACCGGTTTGATGATCGCCTAGTGAAATGGTCTGCTCGGTCAAATTTGACGGAAAGCTCTTCGTAATGAAGTATACCAAACGACACTTCCAGTTGTGACGTGGAAATTCGGACCCGATAGGCGTGCATTCAAGTGTCGACTGCGGACCATCGGGACAGATTTTACGAGGTCTTTTTTCAGGAAGATGCCATTCATGGGACTGATGTGAATAATTCTCGGAGCAGCGTTCATCACGCCGATTGGAAAATATTTCAGGACATTGAAATACCGTGGTAACTAGAATTATGATATCGCCAAACGCACCGCGATCAGGATCGTTCATGAGATTTTTGACTGCTCGCTTGAACAGTTTTGTATTGACGACCGACGAAGACCAAACGTGCAGAATTTGTTGCTCCCAACAGCCTTGACAGTTCCGATTCGATTGAGCAATCCCATGTAATTTCTTACGCAACAGACGTTCTGCTTCCTGCACGCTGTACGGTTGTCCCGGTGCGGTCATGAGTCGAGCCACCGATACACCCAAATGCATCGGACTTTGTGCTAAGCGCATCGGGTCTCGCATACGTACCACATAATCTGTCATTGCACCACCTTTTGGGAAGTAATCAATCTCGGTTTCCATCTGCAAACAATAAAAAAATGACAATTATCTATTCTAATCTATCTTAATAGATTGGTTAACACTCATGAGGTGTGACTGATCGGTGATCTGGATACTCTTTGATTAAGCAGAGCTGAATGCTACCAGGTGCATCCCCGGATTGTGGACAGGGGGATACCTTCACCGAAGAAGGTTAGCTGTGAATAAGTTGTTGCATAGCGCAAAAAATAAGCAGTCGCGACCAAACAGGGGTGGCATTACCAGGGTGTAGTGGGTTTCAGGTTGATCACCTGGCTCCTGTTTAAAAGCCGCATAACCGCAATGACGGTGTCGTGACAAAAGTCAATGTGACTGGCCTTTTAAAACCAAAATCATTGACCTCCTCACTTCTGAGGTGAGGGATTACTTCCTGCTGCCTTGCAGTTTGCATTTGGCTGTGCAACTGCTAGAGGTATGCCCTCAAAATGAAGAAACCGCCGAGTGACCCTGAGGACGTCTCTCGTACCAAACTCCCAAGGAACTTCATGATCGTGATCATGTCTGGAACCGGCTTATCCCGTCCAAAGAGCCAGCCGCAGTAAAGTAAAAGTAAGTACGGATCAGTAACAACGTTGACGGTAGTATTTTGCTAGCGCCTTGTTTGCTTACCATTTCTCCCTGAGCATAAATTTAACTTCATTATTTTTGATTCGACTAGCGTAAAAGAAATGTTTGGAATCACACGGTCGTCTTGCCAACAAACATTTTGGTTCAGGTAAACAAAGCAGGGCATAACCAATTATAACAATTCCCTGAGCTCTATCCGTCAACAACGAATTCAATCTGGAAGCGAATTAAATTTGTCATAATCCAGGTTCACTAAGTCAGTGAAAGTCGTAGAACCTAATGGTTAGATGAACTGTTTTCATTTTACAAGATTTCTTTCATCGTAAACCGACTGAGCAACGTTCATGCAGTTGTCCAAAATGGTTCTACAACTCATTTAATTCAATTACTACTAAACACCCAAGTAACTGGATACTTAAGTATAAAGAAATATTCTAGCCAATAAACTTCAAAACCCCTCTTCTATCCATTACCATCCACAAATGAAAAAAGCAATGAACCATAGCAACTAGTTGCACAACGTAATGGAAAATTCTGTAAACAGAAACATCCATTTACCTTGTGTAAATTGGCGCGCAGATATCGAGCAAGGATCGCAAAGGAGAACACTTCAGATACGACAGAGCTGCCTCCAGCATTCGGGATTGCAAGCATCCGCGCGGCTTCCTTCGATAAACGCATCCGTTCAAAATGTCTAAACCCAAAGAATGAGGAAAACCAAACAGAAATCCCGGGTTTATGCTTCCGAATTGCCCGTGCAAAACTCGACCATTTGATTGTACGTGCATGATGAGGTTGTGGGTTGTTGCATGTCCAGCATGGACCTGAGAGCTTTGGCGTCCGCGCAAAGCATTTGGCCGGAACATGTCCGTGTTCATGAATCTCCAGTGTTTTTGTGCCGGTGCCGAATGCAAATCTTGCTATTATTAGTGTTGTTCATTATCTGTAATCGACAAAACAATTTAGGGTAAATAATGACGTTCTTGCCTCAAAGAAATACATACAACTGTCCTACTCCGTTAGTTAACGATCGCTGATTCCGTAGTGGAGAGGGGGGGGGCGCTTCGAACATTCTCACCTTTATTTCGAGTTCGATTTGTGAGAAATACAAGTATCATGCATCTAATCATTTCAGAGAGTACATCTTGCACTTTTGCACAGCCCCACTGGGACGATACTGAGATAGTTTAAGCCTTGCTCCTTTCGGTCGTCCGTGGAGCAGTTCATCGGGAAGTGGAGATTGTTGTATGCTCCTGTTCTTGAGAAAACACTATACAGTTAATAGTTGATAGGGACTGAATTAGAGAATGTTCCCCAAAAAATAGAACAGTCCATCGGTTCGTAGCTGCTACGTCTCTGCAAAAACTCCCTACACTCTTAATGGGAGTCTGTGAGACGATCATTATGAAGCGCAACAGATTATTTGGCTCAAAGGAAATTATTCACATAAATATCACATTGATATATTCAAACAAAAAAGCACACTGAAGAATTTTGTAATACATAGTATATATATATATATATATATATATATAATCACAAACAGATCACGTTTGTTTTTATCAGTACATATGTAACTTGAATATACACTATGCAATCAAACAAATATGCACCTAATTCAAACATGACGCATGCATTATTGTCAGGATTACCTCGAAATGATAAAAATATCAATATGTGGCGTTCAAAACAGTGGTACTTTTATACAGCTCCAATTCAACAGATGCAGTACTCTCATGCGTTGATTGGTCTGTTAAATATGTCTCTAACAAAAGAATTTAGGAAGTCCCTAACACAATTATCACTTGAGTTGAATCACGTGGGTCTTGCTCGCGTGATATGCAAGCCTAAAACTGATAGCATAGCTGATGAAATTCTTGAGTTGACAGCTAATTTTCATGAAACTCTCTGAATGACCCGGGGTGGGTTTTCAATGAAATGCTCATGAGAGATAGATGGAAGGTTTACAGCACAAAGTGGTAAAATTGTTACTGCGTAGACTACTTAGTGCACATATGTGTGTGAGGAGGAGATGGGGATTCTTGTGCAAATCCGATATGGGATGTGGATACCGAACAATTAAAGATCCACTTTCGATACCTATTTTGACGGGAGTATAATATTTCTTTCGAACCAACTGTACTTGAACTAGTATAGAAAGCTGATGAAATATAAAAAGTGATATACTGGTTATAAAGTTTCGTGATAACAAGACGAAACACCATAATCACAGTGTCACAAAACCGAACCGGATTGGGCACAGGGGCTCTGGTGGTTATTATCTCAAGAACATTTGCACGCTTCAGTCTGAGAAACTAGGCAGCATTCCACTCACAAAAAAATTATTGAACTTTCTCTTCCAAAATAAAGATACTTGCACTGAATCTTTTGACATTGTCTAGATTCGGACGTGTGTTATATACACAACGCTGTTGAGCGTTCATTTATTCAATATTGTCCGAAATATTTCGATACAACAAGACATACTTATACACGGTTTCGTTTTGAAGAGAGGCAGACAATGTGAATTTCGATGGACAGTGCCACATTTTCTCTCGCACTGATTTATTTGGTTTTCAACGAGTACTACATGACGACCGCTCAAAAACCGAATGAAAGTCATATTTAAGCTGTTTATCTGGTGAGTGATACCCTTTACGTCCCTTATATTTCCGAGGCAACCGATTTATCCCTGTTTCTGAAACACGGAAAAGATTCAATATAATGAAAATCCCAGATGATGTGCGGTAAGTAAACGAATTTGACATTGAGCTTGACTCATCCAGAGAGTGTAAAAGTATGAAAAAATAATATTGAAATAGGTCAAATGGTTTACTAATACACACCTCAAGCGAGAAGATGTTCCAAACTTCATCTGTGAAAAATATGACCTCCGCAAATGCATTTGCAGAGGAGCAGTTATCGAAAACCTCCTTTATCAGTGCAAAATCAGTTGTGATATCCAGATTGGTGGCTTGAGGAGAAAACGGCTAATCAGCCCGGACTATCATCCAGATTGGTTTTGTGCAACTCTTCTCTGCCGCGATGGAATACAACCATCGTCTTTCCTTGATGTGATCGGTTTTCTCCGCCTCGGTTTATGTTTAAATGGAGAAATTTCGTCGAATATGCATCAAATTGGACTTAGGTTCACATCGATGCACTTCAACAAGACGCCAATTGAATCATCGGATTGAAGCGCCTCCCGATTAAGTTGCTCTATACTTCAATTATATGCCAAAACCTTCTGAATGTTTCATCCGGTTTGGATAAGGTGACACTACAAAACGCTTGTTCAACGAGCCGCACAATTGAAGGCCAACTTTTGAAGATCAACACTTCTTTCTTGGATTATATTTTCAGTTCTTTCAGTACTTTGGATAATGCATAAGTAGTTTACAACCAATTAATTAATCAATTTATTTAACCTTGAATATTTTCATCAATTTACTTATTTACTGTGCATTGAATGAAAAGAGATAAGCAATTTAGAATACGTGTTCTGAACTTAATAAACAACCTCACGGAACAGGAATCAATTATTATAAACAATAAATTCTCATGCTGCTTTGCTCAAAATATTTTCTAAATCTGAGCTGTATCTTTCGAACTACTACAAATTTAATCGCAACCCTCAAGGTCACACACATTCAAACGGTGATAGAACAGAACTAAGAACATAGATGTGAGAGATAAAATTAGAAATAAATACACTCTACCCGTAGCCCTCAATATGCAAATTTGACATTGGAGACTGAAATGTATTTCCAAAATGAGAGTGACGTTGCACGAGTTCGATCAACACCTGTACACGAATCCCGGCTCAAATAAACCTTTCACCCTTAATGTTTGCAACCTAAGGACAGAGCACTGTGACAAAATGTGATCGCCTGAGTCAACTCCTCTTGATGCCGGAACCTCAATGTTTCATCTGATTGTTCCACCAGTGGCATGGACAATCTAACTACAAAAAGAGTCCTTACATTTTCAAGATCTAAAAGCATTACTATAACTAATTTATACATAGCTCCTTTTTGTACTCTGTCAAAACTAAACTGGTGGAGCGCAGCGTAGTTACTAGATTCTCCGTTTGATGCTTCGATTTCCTCTCCTTAATGAGCTCGTGAACTGCCGCGGTCCACTGCGCCTGTTGTGTTGTGGTGTATTACGGACAATAATCAAGTATCATGTGAAATTATTTGGCAGATACTCATGGTATTAAAAACGAACAAGACTTTAGGAGTGTATAACTGGATTTCTTATTCTAACAATATACTGGTCAACTAATTGACCACTGATTCAAAATGTTTTATAAAACGATTACTTGAATGGTCTGGATTATGTGTTTGTTTCATTACCAATGCCCTCTTCCAATAATCATCTTTTGGGTTTGTGTAATGTCTTGATGCCAAGACGATGTGATCGATACGTACGCCTCTTGTCTAGGCCCCAACAACTGGAGAACACTGCTGAGAAAACGACAGTCAGAGTGTATTCTTGATCATGAAAACAACAAGCAAATATATGTGGTCAGTTGGGCATACGCGAGCAGACGTGGTGACGCACCAATCAGATCGTGACCTTGACATTCAAGTTGATCGACCGGACGACAGCTAATTGCTTTGCCTTGGTCATCCAATCAGGAGTCGATTCGGCTTGGGCGTCACGAGCGCACTTGCGGTGTAACGCGCGTCGCTGCGTGGCAGGACGGATTTTGTGCGCTCCGTCCTACCAGTTTGGCTCTAACTTGTGGATTTTTTACAACCGTGGCACCCCTACTTCAGTGTAGAATTCCCAAAATCTTTAAGATATTTTTCAGTCGTAGACATTCATCCACAGTTGATGCTTATCCACGTTTGCTTATCTTTGACATTGTGAAAATGTTTGATTGCTCCACATCATCTGCGAAGATTGATTTTTAACTGGTTCACCTGTGAAACTCAATGCAATCGGATGTGCAAAAAAACAAACGTACCGTTCGTGAATAATTCAAGATTGCTTCGCCGAGCGGTTCTCTTGGGTTTCGTGTTTTCCATCCGTATAAGCGATCTATCACTGCCTTTCACATTTTACTATACTCATAAATTATTTATTGGTTAACTTATTTCTATGACTGAGAACCGTGCCCATTTACATCCACACACATCGCGAATTTATTTGAGCCAGAGAATTTTCATTAATCGGCTTACATCTTGTGCACCGAAACAAAAATGGTGAGCATTTTAGATGTGTATTGATCAGAGTGAAAACCCATATGAAATAGTAATCACTCATTAGAAGCTATGAACTTCTATGCTGCTTTGCATAAAATTTAATTCTCAGCTGTCACTTGTGAACAGCCAAAAATTTCATCGTGACACTCAATGTCACGCAAACGTTTAAACCGCGATGCAGACGAACTATGAACATAACAAAGTTAGTTCAAGTTTGGGATGAATGCTCTCCAACATGTATGCTACTGGAAACTGGAATGTACTTCTACAATTCGAATATGATTGCACGAGTTTGATCTATCTATCTATCTATCTATCTATCTATCTATCTATCTATCTATCTATCTATCTATCTTTTTATCTATCTATCTATCTATCTATCTATCTATCTATCTATCTATCTATCTATCTATCTAGTATCTATCTATCTATCTATCTATCTATCTATCTATCTATCTATCTATCTATCTATCTATATTTTATCTATCTATCTATCTATCTATCTATCTATCTATCTATCTATCTATCTATCTATCTACCTATCTCTCTATCTATCTATCTATCTATCTATCTATCTATCTATCTATCTATCTATCTATCCATCAATCAATCAATCTATCTATCTATCTATCTATCTATCTATCTATCTATCTATCTATCTATCTATCTACTATCTATCTATCTATCTATCTATCTATCTATCTATCTATCTATCTATCTATCTATCTATCTATCTATCTATCTATCTATCTATCTATCTATCTATCTATCTATCTATCTATCTATCTCTATCTATCTATCTATCTATCTATCTATCTATCTATCTATCTATCTATCTATCCTATCTTAGCGATCTGTCGGTGTCTATCTATCTATCTATCTATCTATCTATCTATCTATCTATCTACCGCTCCTTTTATCCATCTTTATATATATATATATATATGTATACAGGATAGTGCTCTAAACCATACACAACATCCGCGATGGTATTCGCTTCTACTGTTGATTTTATTGATTAAGTGCCAGATAAACGCCGATTTCGAAGATGGATTTTGACGAATATGAGTAGAAAAATGTATTATGATCCTATTGCAAAGATGACTGAAATGAATGAAAGAGATCATGTTATTTGGGATTCCCAGTACGCTGTCTGTCCTCTTATTTACTTCAGCATTCGGACATGTCGTTTTGGTATGGAGTCCACCAAATGAGCAAGCAGACGTGGAATCATGCCATCTAAGGACCAATTACGAGGCACCTGGATTATTTCTGTTTTCAACATAGACAGTAAAACTTCAAACCACTTTCAGGCAGTAATCGCCTTGATGCGAGAAAACATTATATTGATTGATTAAAACGGACCATCCTTCACCTTCAAGCAAATTCCTCAACTCTTCCAGTCAATAATACTTCAGGGAGCACTAAGCTCGAGATTCGCTCCTATTGGAGCTCATCAGTAGTGCATACACACCGTCCAGTCCGGTATTTGAACTCCATTCTATAGATCTGTTGATTGGTGCGCCAATTCATGTTTTTGCAGCTATAACGTACTGCCTGATAAGGTCATGTTTTCGTTCTTTGAGGCTGGACGGTTATTCATTCCGCTGGACTGGGAATTCAGCCTTGACGTTTGCGACCCGTTGACCAGCTATACACTGTAATTTAACCAAGCCGATGCTGAATGATACGCTTAAGTGTTTTCGGGTATACATTTGCAACAGAGAGACAAATTATTAGAAAGGCTCGTAATTCACGCCCTTGCCAAATTTGACCGTTTGATTCATCACAGAATGAACAATGAAAGATGATGCATGCGAACAGGTCGTGTAATGAGCTATAAAGCATAGATGGCTTGCTCAAAACAAATGCGTTCGATGGCATATCATACTACATCGTGCACCGTTCAAATGAAGCATGAACCGAAACGCTAGTAGGACAACTACGGAGGCTGGTGATGAGTTGAGCTGACCTAGCTAGATGCAATGCCCGCAACAAATTCGCAAATACAGTTTGTGCTATATCATGTATACCTGTCCATCGTCCATCTTTCCGCTTTTACTTTGTATGTGCTCAGCTAAGCTGGAAAAAGCGTCACGGCTGTCAAGTTTAGAAGTACGAAGGAGCTAGCTTCATCATTAGCTTCGTTTGGTGCAGTCTGCCTTCTGGGTTTGAGCCGAAGGGATGAGAATGGTCGTATGTCAGAGATGCAAGGCGATATGGCTCAAAATAGAAGTCAGTGGCGTGAATGCTGTGCTGTCAGGTTGTTGAAATCCCGTGCCCCATAGATAACGATAAATTTGCAAGCACCAGAAAATATAAAACTAAGTGTACGGTAAACAAACAAAAAATGTTATTCTTTTCATCCACCGTCATTGTTTGACTAAATGAAGTATATCCTTCCATTTTCGTTTGATAATGAGTCCTAGTTTGAATCAAAATGTTACAATAAACATTTTACAACGTAGTGTACACAAATTATATATATATATTTGTGCGTAGTGTATATTCAAAGCGAAAACGGCCCCACCAGCTGCCCGGTGATCGAATGTAAAATATGCTTGCGTTCTCCTTGTGACGTCCCGGAATTGGCGTGATGGATTTGCACTGGTGATGAGACATAATCAGGTCAATAGAGTTGTTCATTACTCCCTGGCTTTTCAGTTCACGATTCATTTGCTCTGTACACAATGAATACAACTCAGACATATCGTTATAAATTAAAATCATTGTCGCTCAACGACGAGTCATGAGTTCAATGTACAATGCACAGAACGTTAAATAAATAACCGCGAAGTGAAAATAACATTCCAGTGTACCATTTGGGAATTTCTTGAAAATTTCTGTTCGAGTTTTTGATAAAAGGATTAATCTTTCTTAGTCAATTTTCGCTTATAACAGTGTTGAAAAGCGATCTAACATTCAGGACAAAAATGTAAATTTTGGTTGTACGAGAAGTTATGACCACGAAATAAGATTGTCCAAATCTGGTACGAATTTCACAGAACACAGATTACGTGAGTAGTGACTTGTTTACGATAAGCCGCGGTTTCGATTTTCACCCGTGATAAGTGATCTAATTACAGTGATTATTTCTGAGTGGAATTCAGCATTATGTCCTACTGGAACAGATTTTGGACATGAAACAGGTGACTAACCACTTCATTAAATTTATTATTCGGTTCATTATTTTCCTGTAGGTTTCTTTTGTAACGTTTTTATACTATCATGCAGTCTATTCCTGGAGTATATTCATAATAAACACATTTTCTTGAAATCTGTTAATTGCGATTCACATGAAAAGTATATCCGTCCGTCCGATTTCATTCTACTCAACTGGTAAGGGTGCGTCGGCTGTGCCGCAGTGTGTCCATCCGACTATCTGTCTGTCTTTCTGCAATTTGCACTCGTGAACCATTTGCTATGAGCAAACCAAAGCCTCTTTCGGACTAGTCAAACTCCCCGTGCGTTCTCTCCGGTCTCTCACCCTCTCACTCGTGATCCCACCGATGTCCGTTCTCAAATGGGACAAGTCGATCGATACACGATGCATATTCTCGTGCGGACGTGGGAGTTGGGCAAATTTGATTGGTTCCATTTGATGAGATGCTCGCAAGTCGTGACGTTCTCAGTTATGCACACCCACGTAAATCTTTGTACACCCACCTAGTGAACAAATCAGACGATTTTATTTCGAGTTCATGTTTACTCCCAAAGGGGTGGTGCGCCAGTGTTTTATTTGCTCTCTTACCACAGTGCGTAAACAGAAACGTGTTTTCTCTTCCCTACTGTGAAACTATTGTGATTGGGAAAGTTGCTCCATTTATAACTGCTTTTGTCCTACAATTACGGGGACAACTAGATGATTCTACTCATCATGATCCACCACTGATTTGAGAATCCACCTAATCGAAATGAATCTCACACGAGTGTTTTTTCTCGCATGTGTTCTGGGCTGCTTTCTGCGTTCAGGGCTCAGTCGGATTCATACAAATCAATGGCATGTCCGAATGCACCAAAGCCTACCTGATGTGACAAAAGCGGCCCGTGAACTCGCCAAGCGTTATGGATTCGTACTGCATCCGCGCCCACCGCATTTGCCACCGAACGAGTTCCTGTTCGTGCATCATGGACTTCCCCACGGGCATAGCCGTCCAAGCCCAGCGCACACACAGCTGTTAAACAACCATCCCGCGGTGCATTCCGTTCAACAACTGGACGGATTCATTCGGAAAAAGCGAGGCTACAAACCTTTGGACGATGAAAGCTTAACCCGAATTCCACTTCGTCCAGTTCGAAAACTAAACAAACAGGAGGCAAGTATTGCAAAACATCTTCAAGAAACTGATCCATTGTTCGCTAAAGAATGGTACCTTTATAATACCGGTCAAGCAGATGGTGTGCCGGGATTAGATTTAAATGTTTTAGCCGCATGGGCTCAGAATGTGACTGGACGAGGAGTGATCACTGCAATCATGGATGATGGGATAGATTATTTGCACCCAGATTTGGCACCAAATTACGCAGCGGAAGCAAGCTATGATTTCTCCAGTAACGATGCATTTCCATACCCTCGATATACGGACGATTGGTTCAATAGTCATGGGACGCGTTGTGCTGGTGAAGTTTCCGCAGTTGCTGGAAATCATATCTGCGGTGTTGGGGTGGCTCCGGGGTCAAGAGTGGCCGGCTTAAGAATGTTGGATCAACCGTATATGACTGATCTCATTGAAGCAGCCGCTATGGGTTATGCTCGTGATATGGTGGATATCTATTCAGCCAGTTGGGGACCGACTGATGATGGGACTACGGTTGATGGACCACGAAATCAAACTATGCGAGCTCTGGTTGACGGTGTGAACAATGGTCGTGGTGGCAAGGGAAGTCTTTACGTTTGGGCGTCAGGAGATGGTGGGCAAAACGATGACTGTAATTGTGATGGATACGCAGCCAGCATGTGGACAATAAGTATCAATTCGGTCACCAATGATGGTCACACAGCTGTGTACGATGAATCGTGCGCGTCCACATTAGCTTCCACATTTTCCAATGGTAAGAAACCGTTCCGTCGAGACGCGGGTGTCGCAACCGTGGATCTGTATGGAAACTGTACAACACGTCATTCCGGAACATCAGCTGCTGCCCCCGAAGCAGCTGGTGTGTTTGCGTTGGCACTAGAGGCAAATCCTGAGCTGACTTGGCGTGATGTACAACATTTGACTGTGGTCACTTCAAAACGGAACCATTTGTATGATCGTGAACACACGCACAATTGGACCATTAATGGTGCTGGACTTGAATTTAATCACCTGTTTGGTTTCGGAGTACTAGATGCGGGTGATATGGTTCGCCTGGCCAAAAAATGGAAAACCGTCCCAGAAAGATTTCATTGTATTGCTGGTAGCTTTGTTGGACGAAAAACCATTCGACTGTTGGAACCGGTTGAGGTGGAATTGAATACCAATGCGTGTAAAGGAAATCCGGAAAATCAGGTGAGTTGACCTGCAATATGACTAGGATCAAAACCACTAAGAGTTTCAGTGTATTCGTGCGCGAAAATGGCACCCAATGATTTTTTTATCGCAATGCAAACTCGTAACGTGTTGTTGCCTTGCCTAATACGTACCAAATGTAATTTGAAGACGGTAATCCATTGGTGGTTATTGACTCCATGCACTTTGCATCCCGTGATCGAATCCCACCGATCACACGATAGTTTTTTCGCCTTACCGTTCTGTAAACCACGAGCATGCTAAAAGCCACCATTGATGGTGTCAATTGTCATCTGCATATTTTCAAATCAAAAACAGTCGCCATAATGTTTTTAGAAAGAAATTAGAATGTCTACTGTAATTTAAGTGAAATTTATTCCACTTTGTTTTAGATTTTCTATCCTCTGTTTGCTATAACCTTATGCGCTGCGCCGTTCCATTACTCATCAGCCAGTCTCGTAGTGAATCTTTTATTGATGGCCTTATAAATTTTGATAGACTGGTTAACTGATGATGTGTGAATTCAGATCGAAATTGATTTCCCTCTTTTCAGCACACAGGGTTATTCATTGTTCACTTCTTTTCTGAATCACTAAAAATATTTATAGAGCCCTGAGAGCACTGTATGCTCGAATGATGGCTGAATGTTCCAATCTCTGTTCATATCGATCCACGTGCGCAACCATTATTCGGCTAACACCAGTATCGATGGTCTCAGAAGGTAGTTTATATGAGCGTAATTTCTTCAAGTTTCATTTCAATGATGAGGATTACCTTCACATTGCTTTGGAGGTTATGCAATCGATACCATAGCCACTGCCACCGTAAATGGCAAGTACCCTAAGGTACTTATCTACTTCGTCGATTTCTTCTTCCCTCAAAATACTCCTGTCATCCATTCAATAGCAAAAAGTAAAAGCATCTTTTAATTGAGCAAGACGTTCGGCTCCGTTGGGACTTACGAGTCATGGTGTAGCATAAGGTTTTGGCTTCCAAAATGAAGGTTGACAATAAGTGAAGTGTGTTGAACATGCAGGTGTTAAAACAACTTTTCAAGAAAAAAGAATCCCAATTTTGATAAGATCGTAGTTGAACTAAGTAGCATACAACGAAAACAATTGATCATTAATGTAATTTACCTGATCCCTGGCGGCCGCTACGATGTTCATTTTGTTATTTTACGCTGTCGTGGGATGGATTGCCAGTCTACAGTTTACTTATAGTAACAGGCCTCTATAAACAAGGTTCACAACATAAATACGGGATAAGATGCCAGGAACATAAGTTTCGTACCTAGACGGTCGAAGGATTTGAACCTTGGAATGGGGGTTACAGAGAACGCTAATGATATCCACGGAAAGACATTGATCAACATGATCTACAATCTCGGGGAATCGTCACTGCATTCCAAGTACATTACAGCCTTAATGGAGTGTCGAATTCGGCCGAGGGTTGTGGATTATCAATGACTGACAAAGACAATGAATCTTGGGTTTGGTGAGAACAGCCTCTGGGCCACTTTCTAAGCCCCAACAATTTGGCGCCTTCTACTAGCAGAAATCTCAAACTTTGTACTTGGTCCGTGTATTTTATTCAAACTGTGAACTCTCCAGTTGGGATGAAAAAATGTGATGCAATAAGAATTCGTTGTTTATGAAACGCTATGTCAGAATTGGAGTCGGGAGATTCCAAATCCGGGAAAACAGCAACACAAAAATATTTCTCATTGTTACTCACAATGAAGCAGAGTTAACATCCTTGTGCATAATTTCACCACAAACAACAACCGGTTGCAGTACTGCACAAACCAACCCCATCAGATTCTAATTTCTGGTGATAGGTCGTGTTGTTATTGCTGCTCAACATGTGTCTTGCTTCAAACAGTAAACCTTGGGGATGGAAATCGATGCGCTGGTGTGATTGCGGCAAAAAAACAGATATACATTTTGATGGTCATCTCATGAATTTCAGTGATTAGCGTCTCTTGACCCATCACAGCACTTAGAAGAGTTACCGCCGAGTATAACTGCAAAACATTCAAACAATCAGCCAAAGAGAACTACGATAATTCCGTATCTTACGTTTTGATCTCGTTCTCTTATAATCAACGATGGCTCGGCAAGTTAGCTTCCATAATGGTATATATATATATATATATATATATATATATATATACCATTATGGAAGCTAACTTGCCGAGCCATCGTTGATTATAAGAGAACGAGATCAAAACGTAAGATACGGAATTATCGTAGTTCTCTTTGGCTGATTGTTTGAATGTTTTGCAGTTATACTCGGCGGTNNNTATGAAGAAGAAAGACGTTACATGATTTGCATGTGGGCGGAATATTGCCAGGTTTCCCAGGACAAGGCAGGCGAATTTTCTTGGGGCATCCACAGACGGAGTCTTTTGCTAGCCAATCCTGCCCCGCAAGGCAGGGGGGCGATGTGCGCAAACCGCATTACATCGGGGTCGGTGTTCAGTTCATCGGATCATTTGCCCTCTGGATGAGGTCAAACGTGTCGTTCGTACGCCTCCTCTTGCTTGGTTTTGCCAACTCCCCTAGGTGAACTACCAGTGGTCCACCAACCCGGTTATAACGCGGGATATAGGTTTTTTCATCCTCTCACGAGAGGGTGAGTAGAGCTTCCTCAACAGAGGCTATTTGAGACGCTCGGTCTTATGGCAGCATTTCGCGATGTGCAAGGGGAGGGTGACCAGTATCAACCTAAGACACCCACCCCCGACCATACTCAGGCTTTTGGGGGCATAATCTTGATGTGATAGGACCGATTATCTTTTTATATTCTAGCTTTATAACCCAAATACTATGGTTATTTGACCGTCATGGAGGATTTGATTCATTGTCGAAGAAGGAATTTGTCTTGCATGGAGCAAATGAAGCGTAAAGTGAAAAGCTAGAAAGCACTGTACAACTGTTTCGACCTGGTTGGGTCTCATCAGCAGCGCGATCCCATCGAAGCAACTGGGGCTCGAACCCGGAGCCTCACAGGCAGAATGCAAGCATGCTACCTACTGATGAAACCGTTTTTCATTTTCCACTCACAATAGATCACAACCCTTTTTACCCTTTGGTAAATTCCTTACCAGTAATAGCTACCGTAAAACGTGAGGTAACGTATAACTCACTGAGTTCAAAGCTGCTTAACAAACCAATCCGAATAAACGGCCTGCAAAATTTATTCCAAGCGGTATAACCGTCTGCCTGTTCTGTGGGAATAACCCTGATAACGGAAGAGTGAGATCTGTCACGAGAATACAAATCAGATTTTACTAATTTGAATGGTACAACTACGGGCAAGGCTGGGCTCATTTTCATCCTGATGGTTTCTCTCTCATTTCGTTACAGCAAACTGCCGTACAGTCAAGTACAGGAAAAGATGAAGAAAGAATTGCCACCCCACACAGGAATGCAGTATTAAAAAATGGAGTGAACTCGCTTCTCAGGGGGATGGGAAGCTGACCTTATGAGCAGAGTATTGGTATAAAAGTTCAATAATTGAGAGAAACAAAAATAATTTGAGTTTTATTAAAAAGGAAAAATCCCTTGAATAATAATTATTAGACACTGAGAGGGTACCGCGGTCGTGATCAACTTCGTTGACGGAGGAGCTAAACAGGCAGAAGAAGAGGTGTCAATGTTAGGTAGTTTTATTAGCAGAACATGTGACTCGGATAAGGTGTAAAATCAACAAAGGTGGTGCCCCGGTGGTAACGTCACCAATTATCACCCCGGAGGACGAGTGTTCGAATCCCACCACCACCGCCTGACTTTCCCCATTTGTGTGTTGTATGGCAGCCCTCTGATTGGCCGCTTCCCCCTTCCTGAAAATTGTATCTTTGTATATTCAATAACAGGAAGTAAAATGAAAAAGTAAAGGAAAAGAAAGAAAAAGAAATGATGTATATATTTCTCGAATCTTTGCAGGTGGGCGTGCAAACACTCGAAAGCAAAGATCGGATATGTTCTCAACCACTCAAAACAAAATGATTTAAACTTGGACTCCATGACCCGAACTGTAGCCCCGGGGGAGATCAGGGTAACTAGGGTGTTGCATTGTCTGTATCTCTTTTCTATGCATTTACTGTTGGATTCAACAGTCTAATTGATACATAACTAAATGTACCTAAACAGCTGGTTTAGTTATAGGTTTACCTCGCAAAGCACAGATTTTTGTAGCTCTGTTAGCCAAACAGAATGAGAAGTTCTTCGTTTTACCGAGTGACTTAGAACTGCCAAAATGAATAAACCGTCCATTGCAGATCGCCTCCGTGTGCACTGAANCATTATCGCGACGAGTTAGACAAAAGTCTAGATATTATGGCTAATTGTTTGATTAATTTCCAATCGTGAATTTCAAGTTTCATTTCGGACGAATGGTATGATCTAGTAAATTTTTACCGTCCGTTATGGAATTGACCACGCAAAAAAACATCGTTTACGTAAAGCTTGTACAGCACGCATTATTTG